AACTCCTGGGCTGAATTGATCCTCCTGCCTCGGCCTCCCAGAGAGTGTGGGATTCCAGGTGTGCGCCACCTCGCCCAGCCAGCGATGGAGGCGTTAAAGGACACAGCACCCCGTTTGCTTGCGGCGCGGTTCCCTAGGACAGCCCGTGTGTTTCAGCTCTGCGGCATCATGGAAAGTGGCCTCTGGGGCCTGCTTTCCACACTCAGGGCACACGTGTCCTCAGCTTCTCTCCTGAGTGCCATACACAGTGCTCAGCGGTGCAATTGTGGACATCAGCTTTTCTTTTCTTTTGTAAGAAGAGATGATATGCAGAACATTAAGTTAATTCATTTTTTTCAACCTTCTTGAGTTAAAGACATGGTGATGTTTCCAGGAGTCACGCTGCTGTCAGTGTGCACCACGCTCCTCAGCTCCGCTCTCTGGCGGGAGCACGCACTCGGCCTGCCGCCCTCCTCTCGGAGGACCCTCCTGAGGGGGACCCGGTGGTTGGTGCCCGCCTTGGGCCGCCGCGCCCGCTGAGGGTCAGTCCCAGTGTGGATTCGCGTGGCCGCCGTCTGCCCCGGCCGAGCAGCTGTCAGGCCCATGTTAGTAACTACCAGACTTACCAGGGGCCGGGACGGAGAACGTTCTCAGAAACAAGATTATTCCCTTGAAGGCTCCACGGGAGTCTCAGTATGAAAGTCAGGTGTGGATGAGATGTTGGCGAGGTGTGCGTGAGCCCCAAAGTCTCAACGGCACGACAGGGTCAGGCTGCCCTCCCCAGGGCCTCTCCACCCGCCAGGCCCTGGTCAGTCCTTGTTGGGACGTGATCTGCCTCCAGCCTGCCTGTGCCAGCCTCAGCTCCCTGCATGGCGAAAGGAGACAAGGATGGAGAAGGTGTCAGTAGCGGTTGTTCCAGAAGCTCTCTGCAGAAGCAGCCTCCTCTGTGTGAGCAGCTGCCCACCTGCCGCGGTGCAGATGCGGGCTCTGACTGTCCGGTGAAACCACGAAGAAACAAATCGAATCTACAGAGCACGTCGTCCACCTCATGGAGGAGACTGGACATGGTGGTTTTCCTGTACCAAGATTTTGCTCTGACTAACTAA